TCCCTTAAATTCATCAGTTCAGTGTAGAAGCAGAATTAAAACTGAAACATCTGTAAAGAGATTACCAGGCTCAAGCTCTCCTCCCATGACTGGCTTATCTGCATTGCTGTTTGCACTTCCCTAGAACAGAAAAAAATTCCATCAGTAGCTACAAAGAGGATAACTCCGGCTGTTTTATCATCTTGTTTCAATAATACGCACCTTTCATGTGCTGTTTCCCTGTTCATTAAATCCACTCCTTCCTCCTGCAGAAGATATATGTTCTAAGTTTCTCCACGACACACAGTTCATCAAAGGCGCTTAGAATAACACCCCTGGTTCAATAATTTGCCTTTAGAATTGAAATTTAAACACCAGGAGCACTCCAGAAAGAAGAGACTGATACCAGCCCATTCACCATTTCTCTTTAACAAAAAGCAACACTTCAAAAACGCAAAAAGGCTTAAACATGACAGGCATTGCAGGGACACTTCCGTGCTGAAATTCAGTTTTTCAACTGCTAAAGGAAATAGAGCTAAAAAAGAATTAATAGGATAGAAATTCCCATTACAGAAGCATTTATATAAACACTGAACTACTTGTCATTCTGTTACTAAAATAGACAGTTAAAAACTACACTTACCCTTCTGATCTGATGAAGTCGGCTACTAGGAATACGAATAGGAGATGACGACAGCAACTGAAAAAAGTGACAGCTGCCATGTTTAAATCACAAAAATCAATGGCTTGCACACATCCTATTTACTATCAGTCCTATTATTACACTCTTGGAGAATTAAAACTGAGCTGTAGTACTATGTGTGGATGACTCAATGTTGCAACAAGAGAACACTGATCTTCAAGAGGAAAAGACTAGTCTTACTACTTACAAATTAATTCCATCACTCAGCAAGTGGCACAAGTAAAAGCAGACGCTGCTTAGTACCTCCAATGCAAGAACAGCTACGTATGCCATTAAGAAAAGTGAGGTATTATAAATGAAACTAAGTAGGAACATTATATAATCTAACTCTCTAATGCCAAGAATAAAAAGATAGACTCCAGTACTAAATTTATTCAACCAGCTGGCTTATAGAAAAGAAGAGAAATCTCAGTCTCTCAGCTTCATCTTGAACAACATTCCCTAAAATTTTTACTTTTGCAACAGCATAGTATTTTATGCATCTAATCCCTCTAGAACTTTGGCTACTGCCATACAGAAACAGGCCAATACTCCCCACTCAAAATGCATTGTCTCTACTGTGGCATCTCTACTGTTTTGAGGTCTAGAATTTTGGAAATGTATTTTTAAGAAATATTGTAACAGAAGACTTGGAACTATAATTCCATCCCACTTTTTCTGAAGAAAATAGAAGACAAAGAAGCAACATGTATTCCAGGACTTTATGTTCTACAGGTTTTGAGAAGCAAAGCTGAATCTTCACTACCCTCAGAGAGGAAAAAAAAAAAAAAAAAAGTAGGAAAGAGCAGAGAGGTCCCCAAGTTGACATTAAGGAAAAGGAGAAAAGGAGAAATGCAACATCTCTGAAGTTCAGTAACCGCAGTACTATCCACTAACAGATTTATAGAACAGGGGCAAGAACATATAAATTACTCTTCTTCATATGATGCTCTGCTGCCTAGTGTTCAGCTTTTTACAAAGAGAGAGCATGTCTGTCAAAAACCTCGGTCAAAGGAAATTTGGGATTCCCTCTTTTACGTTTTTAGTAAGAATTAAAGCAATCGTTCAACACATTCAATCGTAACAGCAGCTTTCTCTTCAAGCCCATACTCAGGTCGCACATTAAATTTAAGACTGTACTTAACACAATGATTCTGAAGTAGCTGCAGCTATTTTTCCCTTCTTGGGGATATATAATTAATATACACGTTTATTTTATATGCAGATTACAGTTACGGGGGAAAAAATATACTACATTCTGTAGCTTGGAAGCTTGCTGGAATGTTCAGTGCAAATAAAAATCAAGTTTAACTTCATTTCTTTAAGTCAATTACTTCTGGTTAGGCGTAAACAAAACAGGCTTAAGATTCCTTACCATGCTGTGACGGCTCATAACTGTTGTACTGTTCCGGCGAGTTCGCAACACATAAGGCTGAAAGACCTGCGAGTTGTCACTGGAAAAACAAAAACAAACGATTTGGGAATAATCAACTAAGGTATGCCTTATTTAAAAAAATTTTAAAAAACACCGTATCATGCTACACTGCAAGTCTCCAGGGCGCTGAAGGGAAGCATTTCGTTTCAGTGGCTGACTCTGGAGCCCAGCAAGCGCTCTCGCTCGCTGCCCGAGGGGCCCGCGCGGCGGCGCCTCCCCGTAGCGGCGCGGAGGGAACTCGCGG